TTTTGGCATCACAAACATATAATTTGAACCAGTGCTGCATTCAACATACCACATGACACACAAAAATCAATGTGTTTTTTAATACTACTTTTAAATTAAGAAATTAGATAATGTATAATACTAAAATTTGTAAATCGAGGGTCTCAGAATCAGTTCCAATTGCACAAAACTTGCACACCGTGTATTTCTTAGTGCAAAGCTACTAAGGCTACCTGCCATTGTAAGTAATTTAGAACTGCTGACTAGAGAGAAGGCAGCAGCTGGCTATCAGCACCAAATTATCTTCTATCTGAACTGTAAGTTTCCTCTTTCTCTCTCTCTCCTCCTTTTTTTCTTTTTTGTACCACCTAGTGTTGTGTATTTCTAATTTATAGTTGGATAACTCCATTTTTGCAGTAATCAATAACTTCTTTCATTCTGTATAAGAATGTGTCTGGTGAAGTGAAACTCCTGTCCTTTTTTTTTCTTCTTCCAGAAAATAATTGTAGTATTTAATGTTGTTGTTGAGGTGTTCTGAAATCATCACAGTTTGAATTTACAATAATCCAGTTACAGCCTCAGTGTGAATGTCAGTTTAATGTTGCATGGTAAAATCTTGTGCATTGGCTTTTCCTAGACATACTTAAAACGTGTCTGTACCTGAGATTTTTTTTTATCAAAGTTAGCATTGTTTATGACACCTTTGACTCTTATGTAACTTGTATAGAATTGATTCTTTGGTGTTTAGAAGTTAGAATTCTCAGGAGAAAGATGTTTTACCTTTCACTGATGTCTACAATAAATGAAATGCAAGTGGTCAACATGCAAAAGCTTATTATTGTAATAGTCTTCTTTCATATGAAAAGTACTAAAAATTTATTTAAATTGTTACACAGTTAAATTTAACTGGTATCATACCATCACTGTAAAAATAAAGCATTACTACAACTAGCATGGAGAAGATAAGCATTTTTACTTGTTAACACAATAGTACTATTATGTGAATAAGCTTTGTAGTTTTGCTCTTGTTCATTCCGTAATGGTTTTCAAACTTTATAAGATAAAGCTATAACTATCAAAACTTATTTTACAAAATAAATAGATGTTATTCTAATATAGGCTATTTGAAACCAAAAATCCTAGGATTCTAATTTGGCTGAGTACTAATTTGTCTATTCAATGAAATGTGGTTTGATTATTTACTAATAAAACAAAGCTTTAATACAGCTAAAAATGAAGTTTAAATGTGGCTGGATATAGGAAAAAACTACATTATCATGTAATAGTAGAATAAATGTATGGGTTCAAGTGCTGTTGTTTTTTTAATAAATTCTGTTAGTTTAAGTTCCAATTATCCGTGAATTGTGAAAGCTACAGAAACTTTCTTCAGTGAGAAGACATAACTTGAGATAAGGTAATCTTATACAGATTGAATGGGAGAGTAGGAAAAATGTATTACAAGTTTAACACAGTTACAAATATACAGTGCTTGGAAACAGTTTCATCATCGGGTACAAGTAGTTTACCTAGACACTAGAAATGTATAGTATGAAATGAAATCACATGACTTGATCACTTAAGGCTTAATAAAGGTGTCTTGGTGTTAGGCTCTTTCTTTAAAAGTTACTTTGTTTTTACTTTTTTAATAGATAAACTACAAACATGAGTTCTTTATTATAAAATAAAATCAGATAGGTTAAGTTTACTGTTTGGTGAGTATGGTAGGAAACCACGAAGTGTTATGATGACTCCATTCTTTATTGAATATTTTTTGTTTATTCTATTTAAACAACATCCATAAATAATTTGGCTAACTTAATTATTTCTAATTGTAATCATATGTTGTAGGTAAAAACATTATTCCCATTATTGGTGATAGTAAATATTAGACTTTTGAAAAATGTGCAGATGGTAACTTTCAGTAGAGAACTATTATATGAATCCAAGGATAATTCAAAATTGTTTTAAAAATTATGAAATTAATAACATTAGAATAATGCAGTGGTGGGAAAGATAGTTATAATGGCAGCACATACCTGTTTTTCTTTGTTCTTCTGTTGTGGGCCATTTGGCCTCTACTGTGCAGATATACTGTTTCAGGGTTGCTACATATAGGAGGTAATATTAAAATAAATATTTATTTTCAATGTGAAGCCAAAAAATATCCTTTGTAAATATTTTTACTTGTAAAACAATTTATTTTAACTTTATTAGTACCATACACCTAGCAGAAATAAAAAAAAATAACAGGTTTGACTTCAAAATTAGTGTTATAAACAAAATGGCTACTGAGGTCTAAAATATTTTATTTACTTACTATAAGTAAGTAAACTCTTTGAAATGTTTTTTTGTGTGTGTGTGTGAAACTGTAACCCATGCAAATAACTTCTAATATGATTTTTTTTAAATGGATTATTAATAATATGCTGTGCATGCCCCATATGTTGAAACTATGAAGAAACCTTAAACACATCTATTAGTCTGTCTTCTGGTGGCTCACTAGGAAGTTTAAGGGCTTATAATGTTAAAATTTAGAGTTTGATCTCTGCAAAAGGCATGTTGCGGGTCGTCCGACTTGCTGAAAACATTTATTTATCTCTCTGTAGTTATTGTTTTGGAATTAATATTAAACTTGTGATACAGAATGCTTAAGCTCGTGATAGGTTTTTTTTTAGGCCTAATGCAAGTACTTAAAATTGAGCTTTACAGCAGATTCTTTTCTTTTTTTTCACATATTTCTCCAAAGTTTTCATAACAGAAGTTTACAGTTTTTTATTGTTTTTTCCAGATTATACTGTAAAGCAATATTTGTGGGATACAAACGTGGTTTAAGAAATCAGCATGAGAACACATCTCTTCTTAAAATTGATGGTGTAGTTTCTCGAAAGCAGACAGAATTCTATCTTGGTAAAAGATGTGCTTTTGTATATCGAGCAAAAAAGTGAGTAGTGTAGTTTTCTTAGTGTCTTGAATATTGATAAAAGATTAAATTGAATTGTAATGCTATGATGTATTTTCAGACTGTCCACTTATGAGAAGACATTAACAACAATGCTTATTTAATGTGCTTTTTGCTAAATTTTTAGGAGAGTACAATCAAAGCTAGCTCTCTTGGATTATGAGTTTTATTGCTTACCAATTACAGAAAGTCTCAGAGAAAATGTTCAGATGGATTATTATTGTACTGTATGTTTTGTAGAATACCTGGTAGATAAAAAGATTCAGCATTTACAGTTGTTTCTGAATTTATCTTACAGTTGAGTAGTACATCTTTTGTTTTAAACAATTCTCAAATGTAATTAATAGTTCTTATTAAAAATGTATTTATTATTATTTTTCCTGATCACTATATTTCTTTCATTCTTCAAATATTTAGTAAAACCAGAGTACCGGGTAAAAAGGATCACTTCACAAAGCTGAGAGCCATTTGGGGTCGTGTTACCAGACCTCATGGTAGAAGTGGGGTTGTCAGGGCCAAGTTCAAGCGTAACCTACCTGCCAAGGCCATGGGTCGTAGGATCCGTATCATGCTGTACCCTTCCAGAATTTAACTGTTTTGAAATATGATTTATAATAAAGATCTTGGAAGTCATTAATGTTATTTGCACTTTTTGTTTCTTTAAAACAATCCAACATTTTTGAAAATAAAACATTCATCTTAAGTAACAGGAATCTTCCAAGATTATTTTTGCCTAGTAATCCATAATGTTCATATGAAACCAGCTGGAAACACTCATTTACATTAAAAAATTAAAGAATAAAATATTCATGACAAAACTCTTGATATACTACAGATTTTAACCCTCCATTTACATCTGAATTAGTCTTTTTGTGTATTTTGCAATTAGAATTGCTTAAAATTAGTATAGGTGTCTTGTTTAACAAGAGGCACTGCCTAGAAAGCCGTTTGATCAGCATGAGAAGTTGTAGAATTTATTGCTGGATTGGGTATGGTGGCAGCCTAGAGGCAACTAGGTACTATCTTATGTGCAGTATTAAATATTCAATATAATGGATTGACTTAAATTAGAGAAAAATAATTATAAATGTGCTGTGATTTTTATCAATTTACAAACATTTGTTTCCACTGCTTTGCCAACTTTCAATATTTCTCACAACCAAAAAAGAAATCATATGTTTATATGTGTGTGTGAGGCAATAACAAAAATGAAGATATTGTGACTGAATTAACCTGATCTCACTGGAATGAAAGAATGGCAAAAATGTGATTTTTAGAAGATTGATTCAATATGTATGTATAAATATTACATTAAATGTTTTTTACCTTTAGGAGTATTGGGGGGGGGGGTGAAAATTATGGATTTGTTTTTATTGGTTTACAGAAACGTTATATTTAAACTTGATTTAATTATTGTGTTTATGCCAGATAAGGTTAATGCACCATTTCAAACTTAAAACCAAGAATACAATTCTAAAACAAAATACTATAGATGAAAAGTGACGTATTTCCAAAGACCTTGATTTCAGAGATAGAGGCCTAGAAGTTAAATGCATTACTGCCTGGGACAGTGCTAAACGCCTATACTGATTAGAGTTTTATAAAATGACAAGTATTAAACCGACGTTGATCTAACCAGTTAATTATATTTAACAATGTCTTCATTTCACTTCCATGAAAAGTCTTTCAGCGAGCGTTTTGCAATATGAGACATTTAATATTTTCAATTAATGTTTCTAGCGACGTGGAGAGAAAGTCGAGAAACATTTTTACGACGTGTGTGCATATAAATGTATGAAATTATAGTTTGGATGTAACCGAGTCCACTGTTTAAGATTCGACAAAAATTATATCTTGTAGTTATAGTATAGGCTATTAAGTTCACGCTTGGGTGAATATTTGCATATGTATTGTAAATATTGAAATAACAGCCTTTTTATTAAGTGTAAATTATTTTAAGCCCTACATCAAATGTTATCTGAGCAGATAGACTAACGGGATGACAGTTAAGAATTATATAGTTGCTCTTATTTTATTCACCACACACACAAGGATTTGACGTTTATTTTTATGATTCGCCTTAGCTCCAAACTGCAGGGCAAGTGTTTGTGGCAACGAATCTTCTGCGATTATGTTTTACGTGTTTTGTCTTATGGGAGTGTTGTAATAATTTGATTTTTGTAAAGCTATTAAAGTAGAATTTTTGTTTCGGATATTCGCGAAAGTTATACAAGGACCGTGTGCTAGCCATTGCTAATGTTGAACGGATGGACTAGTGAAAAGGAAGCTAGTCAACAGTAACCACTACAAACTCTTGAGTTATCTTAATCGAATAGTGAGATTGGTTCGTCACTCTTATAAAATATCCGCGGCAACAAAGTGTGGAACACAATTTTTAACGGAACATAAACCACGAATCTTCGGATTCACAGTCCAGCACGCTAACCATTAAATCCCGAGTACAATAAAACTTATCCGAGAATGTAAGCTATACCTTGTCAGGACTACAAACGATATTTATGTATAACGTTTCTATTTATGGATCGTTTAATAGATGATTTTCTCTTAATTATGTTTAGATGAAAGGCAAGTGTAGTGTTACAAAGTAATATTTAAAAACCTTAAAAAGTCCATATTCATAAGGATATTCCGGCCATGTGGTTAGGGCTCTCGACTCGTAATCTGAGGGTCGCGGGTTCGAATTCCCACTATTCGTTGGTAAAAGAGTGGGTGGTGATGACTAGCTGCCTTCCCTCTAGTCTTACACTGCTAAATTAGTGACGGCTAGCGCAGATAGCCCTCGTGTAGCTTTGCGCGAAATTCAAAAACAAACAAACAAATCCTTTTCAGGGTGATAAGTGATTTACATATAAAATGCAAGGAAAAGTATGATTAAATATAAAACTAATGAATTAGTGTTTTATACATAAATCGACTGTATTAAATCTAGCTATTGATTATATGTTCAGATGTGACCTCATTAAGATTGTGGTTTCATTTTGTGAAACTATGACGCACCCTCTATCGGCATGTGGTGTGGTCCCTGCCCTAACTACTCCCGTTAAATGACTTTTAGATTTATACTTGTTCACTCTAACTTGTGATTAAGCATCACTTGTAGTAACCGATTATAATTACCTGATAGAGTACCGCAGTAATGATAAAGGGTGTCTGGAATTTAGAAACTTAATTTTACAAAATAAATGTTGTATCAGTGTAGCTATTAGAATAAAATTAGCTTATTAAGTTAATGAACAACTAGCTCCACAATTGCCATGCTTTTTTACTTTTTACAACTATTCTTGCTTTAAATGATGACCCCTTCCAACGTAATGGAGACTGGTTACACTTAAAGTGCTTTGGATACGAATTTATACTGGTAATTGTTTAGAATATTCTTCATTCTCAGACACCATGCTACTTGGTACACGCACATATATATATATATATATATATATATATTTATCAAACAAGGCCACATAATATTTTCGAATGTTTGCTCTCTATGTAAAGAGAGTACTTTAATTGGGCATGTTCTGAAATAAAGACTAAACGTCCTTTCTATACATAAAATACTACAAAAAACAAGATTACAAGGTTGAATATAAAAGGAAAATCGTTTGTTTCAGAATTTTCATGCAAAGCTATACCAAAAGCTGTCTGCACATTGCCATAACTAATTTTAATTTATAGCTAGTTAAAAGCATCCATCACCAAATATTTATTGACCAAATAGTAGGAATTGACTGGGACTCATATGTAACACCTACAGCTTCATAGTGCAGAATACATTTTATGGAAACATACCCCGAAACATGAATCCTTGAATACATATTCCGGGAACACTAGCTACTAGGCCATACCCAGTCTAATTGAAAGATAGAAGCAGAATGGACTTTTAAAAGTGCACCTAGAGCATTACTACATGACAACCATATAATCTGCAAGTGATGGAAAAGGACGTAACCACCACCATAATATTAAATATAGTACAGGCCAAAGTGAAAAGGAAATAAATAATTTAAATTTAGTTAAAAATAATGATTTACGAGGCAACTTATGCAGATGTAGTGTAGTTGACATATTATAACATATCTTCGTTTGCTTTCACTTTTATAATTATTAATATAATTTATTCCTGTTGACACTGTGGTTACTTGACCCATTTGGAGAACAATAAGACTAGCTTACTGGTTTACCAGTTATTGTGAATAATAGTAAATTCAATTAAAATAATAATAATCATTAAATAAATAAAAAAGCAAGATAAAATAAATAAGTTTCTATTATTAATTCTTACCCTAAAAATGTGATTTGTGAATGATTTAAATAAAACATATAGTAATTACAATTCACTTGCATAATATGGCTCACACCCTAACAATCATAGTTCATGAAAATTGGTGATATATGTCTAGCTCTCTGACCACTACTATGTTTGTCGTATCTCAGCCGATATGGAGTCTTGGTATTGGCCGAAAGGCTTCGTCGGCACTGGAAACGGTAGATTTCATGTGTGTTTTGTATTATAACATACAAGCAAAAGTACCCACCCCCAGTGACTGGAAAAGTTTAAGTTAATAAGTTAATCTATGAAGTTAGATTATTTCATGGACTTTAAAAAGGTTAATTGTGTTGCACTCATGGTTTCACTCAGAGCCAAAGTTACTTATACTGCCCAGTGCAAGAAGTAATTGTTGAGCATTTCAGTCATGCTAAGAGCTGCTCAACAATAACATATGATAAATCTACATTTTTATTATTTAAGTTACACCACATTTTGAAATGTAAATGATAGTGTGATTAATTCCTAATAATTTAGTGTATAATATTCTATTTCATTCATTCTAGGATATGTCTACCCACTGCAAGGCATGGCCCTCCGCCAAGGACATCCAAGTCTGTCTATCTAGTGCTTTACTCGGCCATGTGATGCTCTCTTTCTCTATGATCTCATCATGCCATCTTCTGTGTGGTCTACCTCTTTATCACTTCCCTCTGTGGGGCTGCTATTCTGTGATTCTTTTCGTCCATCTGTTGTCTTTTAATCGAGCAATGTGTGTAGCCAATTCCCATTTTGATTCTGCAATATACTTGGAGATGTCTCTTACCCTGGTGTTTCATCTGATCTCAGAGCACAGAATTTTATCCTGGAGCTTGATCTTTAGCATTATTCTTTACATTGCTCTTTGTGTTGTCTGCAATCTTGAGTTAAGCTGTTTAGTGAGTACCCAAGTCTGACATCCATTATATACTTGGAGATGTCTCTTACCCTGGTGTTTCATCTGATCTCAGAGCACAGAATTTTATCCTGGAGCTTGATCTTTAGCATCATTTCTTCCATTGCTCTTTGTGTTGTCTGCAATCTTGAGTTAAGCTGTTTAGTGAGTGCCTAAGTTTGGCATCCATTTGTCAAGGTTGGTAAAACACATTGGTCGAATACTTTTCTTTTAAGGGTTATTGGTAGTTTTCACCTTGAAAGATCTCTTGGTATTCCCTAAAGCAGCTCCAGCGAGCTTTTATTCTCATACTTCTATCCTCTTTTGTTGTATTTTTCCTGTACGTTGTTTGTCCGAGGTATTTGTAATTGTTCACTCTCTCAAGAAATTTATTTTTTAATTTGATTTCACGGTTTTTATCTA